GAGTGTGAGAGAGGGTTTTTGGAAGATGAGAGATGGTATACAAGGGTTGGGTTTGGGTTCAAATTGTATTCTTGTATAGGGTTTTCCTCTCATAATAAAGAGCAGGTGTCTCTCCATGGACGTAGGCTCAATGGTGGAATCGAACCACGTTAAATATTATGTGTGTTTATCTTTCATGCTTGTGGCTTATTTATCATTAAATTGTTGTATATTTGATATCTTAATAGTTGTTTGTTCCACGTTTGGATCTAACAAATACACTCTTGGTCCTAAGCTAAATTGGTCCAGGAGGCAGTGAACGAGGCAATCAGAGATGTTTAAAAATAGAATGAACGAGCGAAATTTTGTAAACATTATCATAAAGAAAAAAAAATTCAGCCATTCAAGCAGCTGTAATTGGGATTTTGCCTTCATTTAAATTTTTTTTTTGGTAAGTGAGAGTTTATTTTGCAAACATTAACATGAAGGAAAAAAATTCAGCCACTCAAATAGCTGTAATTGAGATTTTGCCTTCATTTAAGTTTTTTTTTTTTTGGTAAGTGAAAATTTGGATGGATTCAATTCCAATCACTATCATGGGTGGTGCATGCCTCCAAGACCATATATCGAGACCATATATCAACACAATTCTTATATCGAGATAGGAATTCGAACACACGACCTTTTGCGAAAAAGTAATCATCCTTGCCAATTGAGTCAACTTGTATTGGCCTTTGTTTAAATATTAAACTCAATTAATTGGATTGAGAATCAATATTCAATTCACTCACAGTAGCCAGGAGAGGGGCTATTAGATTTTTCCCCATTATCAAGTTTAAATTCAATTCCAGTATCTAACTGGCTATCTGGTGGAAGAGGTGGGACGATGGGAAAAAAAACTTGATTAATTGCACGCAATTGACGTAGCGTTAACAATCAACAAGATTTTGGAGAGTTAAGCTGAATGTCATCAGGAATATTCCTTCTTTTTTGCATGTACAGCAAATGTGGTCGCAATAGGTTGGTCTATAATGTTCACAATTAAAACTAATCTTCTGATTTCATATGAAAGGTTCAAGGATTCCAAGCTGATCATGTTTCCAATTGATTCTGGAATATACCCTTGAAAAGTGTTGTTTGCCAAAGAAAGGCAAGTCAAATCTTGTAGCTCTCCAATTGTAGTAGGAATAATATCTCATAGTTGATTGACTGAGAAATCTAAAAGGTATGCTGGTTTGAGGTTTTCGATCTCTGGAGGTAGGAATCCACTTGAAAAGCTTGAGGAAAGATTGAGTTCTTGAAGATTTTTCACGGTCCACTTGTAGGAATCTTTGAAGTCGATTTTTTGGAATCCACATGAATCTTGGTTAGAGATGTAAGGTTTCCTAAACACGTTGGAAGTGGACCGGAGAACTGATTTTGGCTCAAATGCAACTCACCCAATGTATATGATTCACTAAAAACTTCCAAGGAGTCTCTTATTTCATTGACACTAAAGTCCCGTCGCTGAAGTTTTGTTAAACCTTGTATTGTTCTTGGAAGAGATCCAGTGAGTACATTACATGATAAATCTAACACCAGGAAAAAAAAATCTAACACCAGTAAAACTACTCAAATTGCCGATTTTTTTAGGGATGTTTCCCTTGATTTTACAACTAGTAGCAATTAAGACTTTCAGAGAAGTCGAATAGTTCAAAAATATTGGAAGAAAACCATTGAGTGGATTATCGCCCACTATTTAAATATCTCAAGAATCTACACCTTGTCAAGGAAGTGAGAAAGCTCAATCCAGTAGAGGAATCAGTTGATAGATTGTGGCTGGCTAAGCATAGATTCTTGATGTTTCTCAAATTTCCTAGGGAGTTGGGAATTACACCAGTGAAGCTATTAAATTGAAGGCTTAGCCGAACGAGCTTAGAAGCATTTGAGGTGGAGTCAGGTATAACTCCACACAAGTCATTTTGGTGGAGTCCAAGAATCTCAAGATTGCTTAGCTTATTTCCAATTGTCGAAGGAAGAGTTCCTGAGAAATTGTTGGTATTAAGATCAATTTATTGGAGAGTTGTGATAATAAAATTTTCGGAAGGTATCAAACCCAAAAATATACTTTTGGAATTTTTTTTATTTTTGATACAACATAGAATCTAAACCAATTGTCATTTTTTTTAATAAACAACATGCAATACATGAAAAAGAAAATAAGTAAATGAACATAATAAAATTATCATTTTACCATAATAAATTGACAATAAATCATGTTATTAATTCAAAGTTATGTATTTAAGCATAATAATACCATACAATTTATTTCAAAGTTATATATATAAAATAAAGTGTATGATATTATTTTAAAAAATTATTCAAAAAAAAAAACTACATCCATATTATACTATATTAAATCCATCCCACACTTTAGTCCTGCATTTTCCCTCGCCCCTGCAGGCACCCACCCCATTGTCATCCCTATGATGTAGTCTTTTGAAAAATCCTTAAATTTTTTGGGTGTCTCTTTTAGTTAGGCTAAATTATACTGATTTCCCTTTTGTTTATATGGAAGTCACAAATCTCCCATCATAATTTTGTGAACCTGTCCTATGAGCATTAATTGCAGTTTTAATTTTATACTTTTGCCCTCTATTTACCCTTCTTCTTCTGTCCATATTTTTGTTGATTAAAGATTTTCTCTGAATCAGCTTTTGCAGTAAAAGAGCTTAGCTATGCATGTATTTGAGGATGAGAGGTTTCAAGAATTTTAGCTATGCATTCTATTAAATAGCTTTATGCATTTAAAAATCGAGAACTTAATGATATGCATTATGCATTCGATAAACTAGAGCAGAACTTTGCTCAGTTACATTTGCCCCGCTCGAAGCTCACATATGAAGCCCGATTGCTGCTCACACATTTATACTTCGGACAAAGTCCGAGTTTATCAATTTGTTTTCGATAATACTAGGTAAATGAAAAAAGAAAATAGCTTTATATAATTGCTATCTTTAAGATGTCAGAGCACTTAGGAAATCAATGTATGAGCTCGTTAGATTAATTATTTTTAGAGGCACGTTTAATATCTATATATCATGCATGTTACATTTTCAGAAAACAAGATGGATTGGGTATTCCAAGAGTGATGAAGAAAAGAAAGGGAAAGGGAACAAAAGAGAGGAGGGGAATTGGTGCGCTGGTGGGTGAAGGTGGGAAAGCATAAAGGTTAGAGGAATAGTGGGTGTTGAGAAGGAAAAAGAGAAATGAGTCGAGAAGTATAGTGGAGGGAGGCGATTTGGGTGGGGAGGGGGGGAAGAGAGGGGCGAAGGGAAAGGAGAGAGGTAGTGGCATGGTGCGAAGGAAAGAGGAAAGGAGAAAGTGAGAAGAAAAAAGGTGGTAATGTAAAGGAATGTTAGTGTATTCTTTTCAAGTGTTTTTAGTTCTTAATAAGTTCTTTTTGGCATTTTTTAAGATATTACTATAGCTTTTGTTTTTAAAAAATGTGCTATTGTACATATGATGAATATTAGGAGTTGTTCGGAAATCTTACTTCCCACTATAAATAGTACACGTTGTTTGAGAACGTAAAATTATACTTTTAAAAGTGAGGGACGAAAAAAATCATTTTATAAAATGTGAGGAACGTTTGAATGATTTTTCCTTAACAAAATATGATAAATGATCAAAATTAGAACAACTTGCTTCTTTAAAGGACCAAATTAAGTTTTTCGATGGTACTCACCTCTTTGAATTTTTGAATATTAAATGTGAAATTTCCTTAAAAGCAAGTTTTATTTTGTTATATGCAAATAGATCATGTAATATATTTGATATATATTATAATATCACAAACCACCCATGTTGCACGTTATGAAAAGATGCTCCAATATGTCGCTCATGCAGAAAAAAATATAACTATACAATATAAATATAACTATTTACATCCCTATTACATATCTTAAAGTAAATTTTGGTATACCCTAATTCAATAAAAGAAATGTTTTCCAGTGAGGAGATATTGAAAGTGTGGAGTGGCAGAGGACCAGACAGCCGATTATGCTGAATATGTAAATTCTTCAAACTATGAAGATTCTGAAATTCTGTTGGAATTGTTCCCTCAATGGAATTGAAGGACAGCCATAACGTCTTCAAGTTTGACATGTTAGAGATGGAAGGTGGGAGAGAACCCGTAAAGCAATTGTTTCTGAGAGACGGGTATTGGAGTTTCTATAAGGAACCAAACCAGGAGCGAAGTTGTCCACCAAAATTGTTGATTCCAAATTAAGGTATCTCAATCTACGCAAGTGAGCCAACTGACGAAGCAATTCACAAATAGAGGAGGTAATTGACCAATTTTTTGCCAAGAATTCTTGAGGTTCTGAAGTGATCATGTCACTGATTGATCCATAGTAAGCATGATAAGCATGAAGAAGTAGTAGATTTTGTCCCTGGCCATGCTTATGGTTCAATTTCAGATTTCCACACTCACCGGGGCACTCACTAATTAAGAATTGGGATGAACTGGAAAACGATATATACAGATAGAAACGAGCATGGAAGTCCACTAATAACACATTCCAGGAATAATAAAACCAAATCAATGGAGAAAGGTTGTAACATTGATTTATTTTCCAAGTAGGTTCCAAACAAGGACTATCAAATCATGGACGACATGGAGCTTGCGACGCTGATTGGGAAGGGGCCACCATTAGTCTTGCTTTATTCCTTCATTGACTTTAATTCCAGTTTCCATTATTATATATGTGGATGGAGAAGAAACAAACCCAGACCTAGACTAGTCGTCCCTGAAGTCTCCTTTGAAAGTGAATGGTATGCTTTTGCTATTCTATTTTTATGGCAGGGAATTGTGAATTTTCTACTTTTTGTCACTAGATTATTTAAAGTAAAAGGTAGCCAAGAACTTAGTCAGAATTAAAGGAAAAAAAAGAAAAGCAAAGTAAAACCCTAGATGCAATGTTCCTTATAACTGAAAGTCCAAATGTGATGTAGATGACACCAAGGGAATAATGTACATCTCTCTCTGGCCTTCAAAATAAATCAAGCTTACAAATTATACAGCAATATCCGTTTGCATTGGCCAAAGCATTGTTTCTGATACGATCAAGACCTAACGGTATGCTGCAAAAAATAGCAGGTTATAAGCTCAATTGAATAAGGAAACATAACTTTCAACATTGAGAAGTAAAATTTGCACAAAAAGGATAAATACTTACTATCATCAGAAATTGAAATTGGTTCTTGATCTTTAGTAGTTCTGCTAAAACATCTTTCATGTTCATCCGTTCTCTTGGAGATTCTCTACAGCAGTTCAAAGCCAAATTCATGATCAATAAAACACACTTCAGCTTGTGAGTGAAATGCTCATCCTCTGGCCTTATTAAGTTTGCATCAACGACCTGAAGTGCATCAGGAAGAGAATCTTCTATCCAACTTTTAAGGCTTAAATCTCCCAAAAACATTTCATCACTAGGCCTCATCCTTGAAAAAACTTCCATCAAAACTATTCCAAAGCTGTATACATCAATTCTTGTCGAAACTATCCCCTCTGATCCATACTCTGGCACAAGATTACAATAGTCAGAATAATAGAATCAGTTAAAAGATTAACAACAGATGAACAACATCGTAGAAGTAAAGGAAATGTAGACAGCAAAAGTTTAAATGCTTAACCTGGCGCAATGTATCCCAGTGTTGCAAGGGTGTTGGTATGCAAAATACTTTCTCCTTCACCAAACATTTTTGTTATACCAAAGTCACTTACATGGGCAGCCATATCTTCATCAAGCAAGATATTACTGGGTTTCAAGTCACAATGTACCACAGGAGTATCATAACCATAATGGAGATATTCGAATGCATAAGCAACGTCAATCATTATGTTTATTCTTTGGAACATATCTAAAAAATGGTTGTGAGAGTACGAACACTTCTCAAGATTCCCATTGGGCATGTATTTGAGTACCAAGGCTTTAAAATCAAGGTTACAGCAGCTGCCGAGCACTTTTGTAAGATTTCGATGGCATAAACTCTTTAGAACCTCACATTCTCTAACAAAACTTTTTAATGAACCTTCCACTAGCAAGTTGAATACCTTGATAGCCACAACAGTGCCATCACTTAGGATCCCTTTGTAAACAGAACAATAGCTCCCTTCTCCAGGCAAATTGCTTTCATTGTAGTTATCGGTTGAGTGCAAAAGGTCATAGTATGAAAATCTTTCATATTTTGCCGCTAACATCAACTCTGTTCCACCAGAACTCTTTGGTTTCTTTAGCCACTTTAGATTCAATAATGCTCCAATTGCTATTATCAGTATTGCTGCCATCCCTGACAGACTAATGACAAGTAGAAGCACCTTTCTTTTGCTCGATCTTCTAATTGAATTACTCTGACATGGTGGAACACTAAGCCTTAGGTCACCAGAGAGTCCTTCATTGTTCATGAACAATTAACCTGTAAAGTTTCTGAAGGGACCATCTCGAGGAATTTCTCCACTTAATCTATTAAAAGAAACATTGCATTCCTTAAGAGATTTGAGTGCCTCCATTGACTTGGGTATCACACCAGAGAGATTATTATGTGAAAGGTCCAAGAATTCCAAAATACCATATAGCTAAATGATTCTGGTATAGAACCCTGCAAATTATTTCTCGCCAATGAAAGGTTCTGTAAAGCTTGTAGCTCTCCAATGGTTGTAGGGATTTTGTCTGATAATTGATTGAACGAGATATCTAAACTATATGCTGCTTTGAGGTTCCCGATGTCTAAAGGTAGCGATCCACTTAAGAAATTTGATGAAAGGTTGAGAATTTGGAGATCTTTCATGCTCAATAGGTTAGCAGGTATCATGGAAGTCAACCTGTTGGAGTCTAGAAAAATCTGTCTAAAATTTGTCATATTTCCTAAGCATTCTGGAATACTACCAAAGAATTGATTTTGGCTCAAGCTTAACAACCCCAAACTATGTAATCCACAGAAAATGTCCAAGACATCTCTTATTTGATTCGAGTTCAAGTACAGCACTTGAAGATTTGCCAGACTATGCATAGTTCTTGGGACAGATCCAATCAATTCATTATCTGAAAAATCTAGAACTAGTAAACTGCTCAAATTGTTGATTCCAGCTGGGATGTTTCCTTTGATTTTACAAGTGACTGCACTTATCCCTTCAAGTGAAGTCGAATAGTTAGAAATGGAAGCTGGTAGAAAACCATTTAGAGGATTATTATTCAATGTTAAATATCTCAAGGATCTGCAAGCCGTCAAGAAAGTGAAAAAGCTCAATTCTGAGGATTCACTTGATAGCCTGTTGAAAACCAAGTTTAGAATTTTTAGATTTCTTAAACTTCCTAAAGAGGTGGGGATTGAACCTGTGAGCTCGTTATTGTAAAGTATCAAAAAAACTAGCTTAGAAGCATTTGAGATGGAGTTGGGTATAACACCAGTCAAGTCATTCCGATAAAGAAAAAGAGACTCCAAATTGCTTAACTTATTACTCACTGTCAAAGGAATCGTTCCTGAGAATTTGTTCTGGTGGAGTCCAATATATTGGAGAGATGAAATGTTAAAAATTGCAGCTGGTATGGAACCTGATAATGAATTGTTGAATAAAGCAAGAGTCTCTAATGTGTGAAGATTCCCAATGCTTTCAGGTATTCCACCTGTAATATGGTAAAGCACTTTTGTGTTAGCATATCATTGGCAACTTTCCATTGGCACTATCTAGAATTTAAAGTTTGAAAAAATCCGTTAAAAGGAAAAGTTGATGTCAAATTGTCAAATAACCGAACATAGGCCCCAAGTATCCTACTGATCAAACTGATGCCAAGTTTTAATGTTGGTCTACGCAATTAAGACCTTGTAATTAGCAACTTTGGCATACCTGTCAATTTGTTGTCGCCAAAATCTAAATTCATCAACATGGTTAAATTCCATAATTCAGTTGAAATTGCACCTGCAAAATTGCAACTCTCATGAGATTGGTTTGACTTGGAATGGAAATATATAGCGACAGCAATGATGAGACTTTTGAACTTTCCAAATTTTATCAATTGGAAATGGTCGTGTTTCCTGCACCTTTTGGTGTCAAGATTATTCAAAATTTTAGAAACACAAGAACAGGATGCCTATAACAAGTCGAGTACCCCTAAAACTGAAAGCTTTTCATTTGCATATTTAAGTCTTTTGAAACATGAATCACAAAGAACCTTCTATCCAAAAAAAAAAAAGGTAAATGGCTGTAGTGTTTTTCTGTTTCACTAACACGTCCATATAGAAGAACCGAAGAAATGAAGTGTGAGCTCAACACAAGGGAAAAAAAATGGACATTGATACCTATATGAGTTTATAAAATAAAAAGAAAAATTGTTCACTACTACTTTCTACCTCTTAAGTTGTTGGTCCCCAAGTATAGCTTTTCCAGCTTTGTCAAGTTTCCTATTTCCTTGGGTATGGGTCCAGTGAAATAATTCACTGACAAGGATAGCACCTGAAGCAGTGAACACCGGGACAGTGTTGAAGGTATTTGACCAGTCAAACTATTACCTGTTAGACCAAGAAAAGTAAGTTTCTGAAGGCCGTCACAGATGTTGTCTGGAAGTATGCCAAATAGGCTGTTATTATTGAAAGAAATGCTTTCCTGTCAGGAAATATTGAAAGTGTGGAGAGGCAAAGGACCCGAAAGCTGATTATGCTCAATAATCAAATGCTTCAAATTATGAAGTTCCTGAAATACTATCGGAACGTTCCCCTCAATGGAATTATAAGACAGCCATAGCATCTCCAAGTTTGACATGTTAGAGATGGAAGGCGGGATAGAACCCGTAAAGCTATTTTCTCTGAGGGACAGGTATCGGAGTTTATGCAAATAGCCAAACCAGGAGGGAAGCTCTCCACCGACATTGTTGAACCCGAAATCAAGGTATCTTAGTCGGCGCCAGTGAGCTAACTCGCGAGGTAGTTCTCCGTGGAAATAGTTTTTGCTAATATCAAGGGAAACAAGAAAGGACAGATTCCCAAGTTGAGGAGGTAAGGTACCGGTAAGGTTCATGTTTGAGATATTCAAGGCAGTCACTCCGCGGTGTCGAGAGCCGCAGGTGACCCCTATCCAATCGCAAACAGGGGAGGTAATGGACCAGTTTTTTGCCAATATTTCTCGAGGCTCTGAATTGATCATGCGATCTCTTAGCGCAAGAAGCGCTAATTGATCCGACGTAACATTACTGTTGCCGGCAGCCATCATGGCTAACGAAACTATGCTAAAATTTATCAAGGAAAGGTAGTGAATTTTGCCCATGGCCTTGCTCATTGATCAAGTTGAGATTTTTTTGACCGAAACTCACATGAATTGGTGTCAGCAGCAAAATCATATATACTGAAGACGAGCGTGGAAGTCTTCATGGCACAAAAACACACACACGGAGGTGGGGACCGGCAATTAATGCGGTGGTCTTTAGCTATGATAACATCAATATTAGAAAAATACCCACCAGCCAATATCAATGTTGAATTTTCTCATTAACTATCATTAGTTAATTACGTATAAGATACTTAAATGGAAATCTAAAACATCTTAATCTAGCCGTCTTAAGCCACATCAAACAAGGTAAGGTAAGTGCTAAATTGCTAAACGAAATGCTTAAAATAATAATAATAATAATAATAATAATAATAAATATATATAATAAAATATATATATATATATATATATGAGGATAAATATAATAATAATACTAGTGGTAGTAGTAATAGTAAATAATAATTAATAAAACAATGATAGTGAGAATAACAATAATGTGGACGTGGGGGAAATAAATGAAGAATATAAACAAAAAATAAGATATAATTACGAGTGGAATAAACTAAAACAATTATAGAAAGTCAGTATGTATAAGTGTATGGGTAGATATATATACAAATAATAATAACACCTACACACGCCTAAAAGTGGAAATAAAGGGGAAGGTAATAGTGACTATCTAATATATATATATAAGTGATAATAAAATAAATTAGCGATGACGGGGATGGTAATAATAATAACGGATAATCATAAATTATAAATAAATATAGTAAGATAGTAGTGAGGATAATAACCAGGATTGTGAATAATTATTTTCTGTTAAATTAGGAAACTTTACAAAATGAGCACTTTCCAAATTAAGAAACTTTCTAAAAATAGAAACTCTTCAAATTAGGAAACTTTCCAAAAATAAAAATCGTCCAATTTGGGGGAAATACTATTAGGGTCCATATAATGGTTTAGATATGAATGCTGTACTTACTTAGAGGTGTATATTTATGCATCTATAGGAAGTAACAACTAATTAGGGAACCTATACTTTTGATAGGTACGATATAAGGACCTAAAGTAGTTCCACTCGAGCCGCCAAACAGAGATAGGTGGTACTTATCCTTCTGAGATTTCAAATGTACAAATGAAATTCTTGTTTTCAACCCTATTTTGTTGTGTTGACTCGAAATGTGTTTGATTAAATGCTTTACTTGGATATTTATGAAAGCTATATTTTACTATATAAAAATGGACCATGTGACCTATTTGAAATATTTTGATATGTTCTTATATACAAAATGAGTTGAATCTTTTATGAAAGCAAAGAATTATGTATGTGATATACGAAATGAATTTTGACAAGTAAGGCTCAGAGCAGTCATGGAATAGACGGTAGGGGCTATAGTCCTGTCTAATCGCCATGGTAGTCTGGTATGAAGTCCGGCCGATTGGTAAGGTCATGGTAGCGTAGTATAGAGTCCGGCCGATTGACAAAGCCATGGTAGCTTGGTATAAAGTCCGGCCGATTGGCAAGGTCATGGTAGCCTGATATAAAGTCCGACCGATTGACCCAAGAATGAAATGAGATCAATCGATAGTCATGAAATCTATTGGTCGCCCACCTAGAAGGGATCTAATCTCTAGGCTGAGTACTCAGTAGCCGGTCATTGCATGTACTTGTTATGAGCTGATCTGATGGAATGATTTATGAACTGAGTTGAAATGAGACTTATGAACTGATATGAGTTGATTTGCGAATGGTTATGGAGAGGTTTGTGACTTGAGACGAAATGATTTATGACCTTACGATTTCTCATGTACAACTATCAACGAGATGCTTTTAAATTGCTTGTCATTCTTTACTACTGATTGCTTTATAAATAACGTTACTTTCAAACATTTGTGTACCTATAAAATTAAGAGTGCATGATCCAACAGAGGGGTAAATATTACCTACTGAGCGATGTGTCGCTCAACCCACTTCTTACCATTTTTGCAGATTCGGAAGAGTATGAATTGGTTTATATAGAAGACCCTGAGGATGACTTTTATTAGTTTAGGTGCATAGAAGTTGGCAGGCTAGTTACTTCTAGTGTTAGTCTTATTTACTCTTGTTTCCGCTGTTTCAATTGGAGAATAAATGTACGAACGCTTTGAATATTCGTAGACTTCCTTTTATATGTAATTCGTACCGCACTTTATTTAGTTAAATTATTTAGTACTGTTCAAGTTAAATTAGTTAATATAGTCTTGTATTCTTGAGTGAGACTTGAGAGTACGGCAGATGTCATGTGACGGGCACGTGCGGGCTCGGGGCGTGACAACCACATACAAGAACAGAAGCATAAGCTTAATCTATGCTTAAAAAATAGGAATAAAAGCAGATCACTACCACATTTTACCTGTTAAATTGTTGCTCTCCAGGTGTAGTTTCTCCAGCATTGTCAAGTTCCCAATTCCCATGGGTATCGATCCACTTAAATGGTTCTCAGACAAGGCAAGATACCGAAGCAGTGAACACTGAGACACTGTTGAAGGTATTGGACCGATCAAATTGTTATATGCTAGATTAAGCCATGTAAGTTTCTGAAGGCGCTAACAGATGTTGTCCGGAAGAATGCCAGATAGGCTGTTATTCATGAAGGAAATGCTTTCCAGCGAGGAAATATTGAATGCATGGGGTGGCAAAGGACGAGAAAGCTGATTATACTCAATAATCAAATTCTTCAAATTATGAAGATTCTGAAATTCTGTTGGAACGGTCCCCTCAATGAAATTGAAAGACAGCCATAGCGTCTCCAAGTTTGACATGTTAGAGATGGAAGGCGGGATAGAACCCGCAAAGCTATTGTTTCTGAGAGACAGGTATTGGAGTTTGTGTAATAAACCAAACCAGGAGGGAAGCTCTCCACCGAGATTGTTGATCCCAAAATCAAGGTATCTCAATCTGCGCAACTGAACTAACTCAGGGTAATTCTCCATGGAAATTGTTCCCGCTAATGTTAAGGGAACCCAGAAAGAACAGGTTCCCAAGTTGAGGAGGTAAGGTACCAGTAAGGTTCATGTTTGAGATATTCAAGGCAGTCACTCGGCGGTGTCGAGAGCCGCAGGTGACCACTATCCAATCACAAACAGAGGAGGTAATGGACCAGTTTTTTGCCAAGATTTCTCGAGGCTCTGAATTGATCATGCGATCTCTTAGCGCAAGAAGCGCTAATTGATCCGACGTAACATTACTGTTGCCGGCAGCCATCATGGCTAACGAAACTATGCTAAAATTTATCAAGAAAAGGTAGTGAATTTTGCCCATGGCCTTGCTTATTGATCAAGTTGAGATTTTTTTGACCGTAACTCACATGAATTGGTGTCAGCAGCAAAATCATATATACTGAAGACGAGCGTGGATGATGTGTGCACGGACCTTGGCCCACCAATGACCCAGTTCAAGTACCATTGGGCCCAGTCACACGTGCATGGGCTAAGCAATTCAAGGAACGTTCAAGACCAACATGGAGTTCACTAAGATATTGAGGGCTTGGAGAGAGACAATCGAGTCATTTACACCATGATCCAAGTCCACGAAGAGTCAAGCGGGCCACCAAGAGAATAAGGCCTTAGGCCCCATCAATTAGTTAGCAATTAGTTAATGATTAAGTAAGAGCATGGGGCGGCCCATCTTGTTCCAAAAACATGGGCCGACTTTTTCCTTTTCCTAGCCTTTAGGGTTTTAGTCACTTTAGCCTATAAATAGGCTTGCTTTGTAAGGTTTAAGGGTAGACGTTTTATCAATAAAGTTTTGCATATTTTTCGATTCTTCTTGAGAGAGAGATTCGACCCCCCTTTACTTGCTTTGGCAAGGGTTTTGAGCAGTCTTGCGTCTCGTCCTAGATTGTTCTACCGACCTATCCCGTGGAGTATCCACCTTCATTGGAGTCGTCGTCCTACCGTCTGGAATCAAATCGTGTCATCCGTTTGGTTCTAGATCCCGCAATTCCAAGCGTTGGACATCCTCGCTAGATCCTTGGGCAAACGTGCTACGTGTCTCGAAACGTGTTGATCGAGGAACGTATCAGTTGGCTTCAGAGCTTTGGTAGAGGTATCTTTCGTTATATCCGTATTTTTTCGTAGTTGTGTCGTAGGGTCTTTGTGTTTTGTCCGCTGCCTTGTTAAAAAAAAAAAAAAAAATCACTGTTCACCGGTACTGTTCATCGTACTGTTCAGTCGACACTGTTCACCGTTACTGTTCATCGTACTGTTCACCGACACTGTTCATCGTACTGTTCATCCGAATACAAATCTGTCCAGCCTTGTTGTTTGTGTTATCCAACTTGTTTACTTGGTTTTCAAATCTGGATTTTGGCAAAACTTGTTGGAATTTTGTGAATCTTGAAGAGAACTTACAATAATCTTGAGCTTCTTGAATTCTTGACCATAATCTTGAAATTTCTGAAGTTCCTGACAACTTCTTTGAGAAGTTCTTGAAATATCTTGGAGTTTTTGGTAGTTATTATTTGTGGATTTCCTTGTTTTGTGTCGTGGTTGATAGTTGTAGTCAAGAAAAAAAAAAGAAAACAAAAACGAAAACGAAAAAAAAAGGAAAGAAAAGAGGAATCGGTTGGCAAGAGAAAAAAAAAAGGAAAGGAAAGAAAGGGGCAACCGAATTGTTTTGAATAGGGAACCAAATCTGATTTGTGCAATCTTTCTTGGAGTAGAATTTGGACGTTACCAAAAGTTATTTCAAGAAGATTACCAAAGGTTGTTTCAGGAAGGTTACCAAAAGTTGTTTCAAGAAGATTACCAAAAGTTGTTTCAAGAAGGTTACCAAAAGTTGTTCAAGAGGAAAAGGATTTTCAAAAGGTTTCCAAAAACTAACTTGTTTCCAAAATCAATTAGGAAACTAAGTAAAGTACTTGGATAACTCTTTGTACTCACTTGGACACTCTCCCTCCTATCTTTTTAGGAAACTTTCCTAAAGTCTCTCACCTATTTTTTTGGAAACTTTCCTAAATTCTCTCATCCATTTTTAGGAAATTTTCCTAAACTCTCTCATCCATTTTTTTGGAAACTTTCCTAAAATCTCTTATCTATTTTTTAGGAAACTTTCCTAAATTTTCTCATCCATTTTTTTTTTGGAAACTTTCTTAAATTCTCTCATCCATTTTTAGGAAATTTTCCTAAACTCTCTCATCCATTTTTTTTTTTGGAAACTTTCCTAAATTCTCTCATCCATTTTTTGGAAACTTTCCTAAATTCTCTCATCCATTTTTTAGGAAATTTTCCTAAACTCTCGCATCCATTTCTAGGAAACTCACTTAAAATTTTCTCATCCATTTTTAGGTCATTTCCTATATTCTCTCATCCACTTTAGGAAACTCTCCTATATTCTCTTCCCCATTTTAGGAAACTTTCCTACATTTTCTCCTACATTTGCTCCTATATTTTCTCCTAGATTTTAGGAACACTTTCCTACATTTTCTCCTACGTTCTTGTGGTTACACTTGTGGAAAGGTTGGTAACGGTTGTTGGATTTGAGCAGCATTTCTCAACTACCTAATCCAACAGGTAAAGGTATTTGGTAAGTCCATTAGAACACTGCGAGAGATACACGAGGGATGAGCACATACACGTGAGCTTGTGTGACGTGAGGCATCTCCTTTTCTTTGCTTACCATTTTGGCAGGTCACACACTCATGCCTAGAGAAGTTGCGTCTTACCCATACAACCAAGAATTCTTGGAGAATGGGCCTCTCAGGAGGAGGGGTCTCAAGAGGCCTACTCACAAGTACTCTAGTTCCATGCAATCCAGTTCACAACATGGGTATCATTCACTCCGGGAGGAGATGCAACGCCACCGTGTTTTGTGTGTATATGAAAGGTATAAACAAGATTGTGATGAGTATGAGAAGGAGCAAAGCAGTTTGCGTAGAGCATCTAAATCAAGGTCAACTTCATGCAAACAAGGTTCATCTAAGAAGCGTCTTGACAATCAAGACGAGGAGCTCGAGAATTTTCGAATTGAGTCAAAGCTTCGTGAAGCAAAGGATGAATTCCGAAGTCAAACTAAAGCATGGGTTAATTCTATGATGGAAAGACTTAGCCAAGTATGGGATTCCCACTTTGAGCAACTTAATCATGTGTCGACCGGTGGTAACAAAGGAAATATTCATCCTAGTCCCTCGTCGATTGAAGAGCCCTCTATGAATGAGATGCAGCTAAGCCATGAACATAATCCGAACTCAAGTGCAATGAATGGACAATGGTCCGAGACAAATGGAGTAGGAAAGGGCAAGAATAGTTTGGCCTTATTGATGAGTAAAAAGGAGGAGTTGGCCATGTTCGCAAAAGTTGAAAGTGTGGACGTTTTGTTTGCTAACAAGCTAACATGTGTTTTGTTTAGTACCTCTTCTTTTGTGCAGATTAAACAAAGTCAAGTAGAGTTGGTCATGGCATGTTCCATTCCCACGTCACTTGGACACTTTGCGAGTTTCCATGGAGTTTGTCTTCTAGGAGCTAAATCTCTTTGGTCTCAATTCATGGAACCATGTCAACTCAAACCTGTCCACACCATTGGAGGATTGATTCGAGCTCGTCTTAAAAGGGAAATTTCAGATTCTACTGCTTGTTCTCTACCTATGGTTCATTCCTCACCTTTGCCTTATTTTGAGCATGATACTAGCACTAACTCTTGTTGCTCTCATGTAGGTGTTAAAGAGAAGTGTAAAGGACTAGCACTGGCATCTCAAGTTGAATCAATTGGTAGAAGGAATATTGAAGTGTCAAAGGGAGTTTTCTCATTTCCATCTTGTTCTACACCTTCTTACCATCTAGTTGATAATGTACCATTAGTTCTTTACCCGATTTCCGAATTGCTTCAAGTTGAAGGTTATTTTGTTTTTGTAGGTTGTAACGCTGTCCAAAATTTTCCAACTATGGTTAAGAACTTGCAACCCGATTTCGTGCTTATTCCTGCTGAAAGTGGAGCACGTTCGGGCTTCTTCACATGTCCAAAAGCTGGTCACCACGAGCTTACTTCACCAACTCCAACTTGCACAAATTCATATGATTCGTATGGAGTGCGTCTCACTTCATTGCTGCCACTTTTGTCGGGTGATACCCACAAATGTGTCAATAAAGATCCGAACGTTGGTCTTACATCACTGGTTCGTACTTCTAGGGAAGTGCAACCTGATTGGTTCAATGTTTCACCTCCAAATAGGCAAGTTGTGCCAAATCAGCAACAACCAGGGACGAGTCATACCACCTTGAAAAACCCGATTTGGAATTTCTCTTGCTCCCATGAGCATCATTCTGAAGATCCTTATCTTGTGCATGAGAATGGTGACACTATACCAATGCATGGCCGAAGGATGATTAGAGCGCTCTGGATTGCTACCTGGAAGTTTCGCGAGCCTTACACAGGCTCTTTCCTACCTTGGCGCATGTCCTTGTTTGAGAGCCTAATGAAGCTGACCAAACGACATTTAACTTGGCTCGTGAACTTTCATTTGTTCCCAACGTGGCTGACTTCCAAACGCACTATCGATTCGCGTTGTCATACTACTAACTCTTGTTAGTATCTTCCATCTCCATCTAGATTTGAGGACAAATCCTTCTTAAGAGGAGGGGACTGATGTGTGCACGGACCTTGGCCCACCAATGACCCAGTCCAAGTACCATTGGGCCCAGTCACATGTGCACGGGCTAAGCAATTCAAGGAACGTTCAAGACCAACATGGAGTTCACTAAGATATTGAGGGCTTGGAGTGAGACAATCGAGTCATTTACACCATGATCCAAGTCCACGAAGAGTCAAGCGGGCCACCAAGAGAATAAGGCCTTAGGCCCCATCAATTAGTTAGCAATTAGTTAATGATTAAGTAAGAGCATGGGCCGGCCCATCTTGTTCCAAAAACATGGGCCGACTTTTTCCTTTTCCTAGCCTTTAGGGTTTTAGTCACTTTAGCCTATAAATAGGCTTGCTTTGTAAGGTTTAAGGGTAGACGTTTTATCAATAAAGTTTGGCATATTTTCGATTCTTCTTGAGAGAGAGATTCGACCCCTTTACTTGCTTTGGCAAGGGTTTTGAGCAGTCTTGCGTCTCGTCCTAGATTGTTCTACCGACCTATCCCGTGGAGTATCCACCTTCATTGGAGTCGTCGTCCTACCGTCTTGAATCAAATCGTGTCGTCCGTTTGGTTCTAGATCCCGGAATTCCAAGCGTTGGACATCCTCGCTAGATCCTTGGGCAAACGT